GGTTTATCTCATCTTGTTTCTGGATTAGCAAAGTTAGACAAACTCTCATCTCTATTTTTTGATTTTAGGTGAATTTACTTTACTTTATTTGCTTATTTTTTTATTAGACTTGTTAAAAGATTTAGTATAATTGGTGATAAGGGCGCTTAAGGCTTAGCTAGTGCTTTATCAAAGTGCTCTAACCTATCAGCTATAGAAATTTACCTATCGTACTTAAATTTGCTTTCAATTTAATAAAAAATTCGAATTTAATTTGAGTCACTCAAATCAAAAAATATGAGTTTAGATATATTTTTATGTCTTCAAATAATATTTTCTAGATAAAATTGAGTAATTTATTTTAAATGCTTTTATAGGGATGATATAATAGGTGATGAAGGTGCATCAGGATTAGGTTTAGGTATATGTAAATGTGACAAACTCTCATCATTGAAGCTTAATCTATAGTAATTATTTTTATCATTCATTTATTAATTAATTAATTAATTAATTAATTTTTTATTAGCGTTTTTATTAATTTGACTTTCTTTTTACCTTATTTATTTATTTATATTTTCTAAATGAATAAAAATGATTTTAATTATTAAAAGTGGCAATTAAATTAGTTCTTCAGGTGCATCAAAATTAGTTTCTGATATATTAAAATGTGCTAAACTTAGAAGTTTGACTTTGGAATTATCGTAAATTTATTTAATTTAGAGATTCTTTTATTTCTAATTTTGTAAATAGTATTTGAGCTACTTTTAAAATGGCAAAAAACAAACAAACAAATAAAAAATTTAAAATAATTTAAAAAGTATTTTAAATTATATTTTAAAAAATAGGCATAACGATATTAAAAAAAAATAGATTTAAAAGCTTAAAAGAAAAATCTTAAAAGTTAAGAGATTAGTTCATTCAGACTTTTGCGCCTTATATGATGAATCTTAAGAAGATGACTTCGATTATGAAGGATATATAGACCTAGATCAAGAATATGGATAAGAAGTTTAAGATATAAATCAGTAATTAATTAATTAAGAAGACGAGGAAGAGGAAGAGAGCAAATAAGATAATAAAGTACAAGAAAATCTTTCAGAAAACAACTAAAATGAAGAGAGTTAAAAAAATATTATTTCAAATGAAAATAATTTAAACCAAACTAATGAGACTGGTTCTATCTCAAGAAAATCTGGTGATCTATCTTCATTCAGTGAAGAATAAAATTAGAATTCAGAAAACGATAAAAAATAATCTAAAACAAAGCAGTGAGCTTAAATTTATCAATTTTTCTAATTTTTCAAAGGAAAATGATAATTATGAACATGAATTCAAATTAAAACTTTTTTCAGCAAAGCCAATTTACTAATTTAATTAATTAATAAACGATGATTTGTAATTCTATTAAGATTTATTATTAAAGTTGGAAATGATAAACATATATTAATCATAAGTATATATAAAGTGTTTAATTAAATGTTTTATGTTGTATTTATTTTTATAATCTTTTAATAATTAAAATAATACTTTTGAATTTTAAATGTATTTATTTTTATACTATGAATATTCATTGTTTGAAACAAAATACTTTTCTTAGTCTACAACCCTATTTATAAAATAATGCCAAGCTTATCTACTAGTAAATTCATTGTAAATATACTTCCTAGAAATTGCATGTTAAAGGTTATTAGGGATAGGACTTAATATAATTTAATTATTATACTGAACAGCACTGATGAAGATTTTTCTCAAGTATTTTGATTTTTCTCAAGTATTTTGATTTTTCAACTATAAAAAATGAGTGATGTTAAAAAGAAATCATTTTTCGTTGGAATTTATTGATAAGATAAATATAGGACTTAATCTTAAGCAACTCAATTCAATTCAAATGGCGCTGACTTAAGGAAAATTATTCATTATGAGTTAGGCAATCGATTATTAAAGTTATAAATGTTATTTTAAACTAACTCTCTAAGTTTTAACTAATTCTTTTCTATATATTTATTTATAATATATCTATCTACCTAATTAGTAATTAGGAACAACTAACTTCTCAGATGCAATTTTTTTATATTTTTATCTGGTAAGATGACTCAAAAGAATATCTTCTAATATGTTCAAAGTTTCAATACATAAATCTCTGATAATTCTAAGAATATATTTAGTTTCTTAAGAAACTATAATAACTAGCTCTAAATCTTAAGAACCTGTTAGCTAGACTAATTAGATATATATATGAAAGATAGCTTATAAATAAACAAAGTGTCAAATTTTGTTAAAGGTAATATAATCTTAAGTATATTTATTTTTTAATTTTTTATAAAATATTTTTATTTATTTAGTTTTTTTTTCAATAAAATTTAGATAATGAATTTCATAGGTAAAGTAATAACGATATTAGTGATAAAGGAGTATAAAAGTTATCTTATTTTTAACTAAATTTATCACAATATCTAAATTATTCATATATATATAGTCCTTCATTCACAGAAATAATATATAAACGAATGAATATTTAATGAAAAAATATATTTTACTAAATACTTCTAGTTAATATTTAAATTAGCAAATAGCTCATTTAATCAATAAATTTCATTCATTTTTTTAAAAAACAAAAACTTTTTAAAAAATATTTTAATTTTCAAGTAAATTTTTTGAATAAATAAAAAAATTTGTTATTTCTCAAAAATGAATTAAAAAATATTTATTAGTAATTTAAAAAAATGCTAATTATTAGAATAATTATTTGCTTTAATTAGATTTCAAATATTTATTGTGATTAATTTCTTTCTTATAATCAATTTAAAAGCTGAAAATTTGTTCTAAAATAAAAAATAGAAATTTAAGAAAATCAGAAGCGAGTTTTATAAAGAAATGTAAAAGGTAATTAATTAATTTCCAATTAAAAATCCAATTTATTAAACATTAATGCATATTTTTAAAATTAAAGTCTTCAAATTCTTCTTTGAATGAGTTCTATGATATAGATTTAAAGTAATACATTTATTTTTATAATTGGTTTAATTATTTATGTATGAATTACTTTAAAGTTTAAACTCACTAAATAACTTTTGAATTTAATATTTAAGAAATATAAATCTTGTTCAAAATAAGAAAATATTTTTTATTTAATAAGGTGTATCTACTTTTACTTTAGTGCAGAACAATTAGATAAATAAAGTAAGTAATAAAAATGTCTATCATAAGTTGATTTAAATTTAAAATTTATTATAAAAATTTTGACTTTTTTTTTATTTGATCTTGAAACATTTTAATAATTTTATTTATATATTTGATGGACATAAAAAGATAGGATTTTGTAGGTAAAAAAAAGCTTTCAAATTTATTATCTCTGCTATCTAAATGTTAGAATCTCTCATCTTTGACTCTAAATCTAGCGTAAATTTTTGTGATTTTGTTATTTTTTTAAAGATTTTAAATCTAAAGAAATAAATTTATTTTTCTATCTCCCTCTATATATTCAAATAAAAATAAAATTAACCACTTTTTATTTTATTTACAAACAAACAAGTTAGTTATATATACTTTTCTGATTTTCTTATAATTTCTTATATATTAGAAAGAAAACTTTTATTTATTTTAATTTTTAAATAATCATAAAGGAAAAGTAGCTTTAATAAATAAGATTTAGAATATGGAGAAATGGGTAGTGAATTAGCAAAGTGCAAAAAACTCAGAAATTTATTAATTGATTTTAGGTAATTTATTTTTTAATTAATTAATTAATTCAAAAAAAAATGATTTAAATTTTGAAGAATTTTCTATTTTCATTTTATTAAGTCAAATAATAAATTTATTTAATTATGATAAAAG